GTGCATTGACTGTAACCCCTGACTCTCCAAGTCTCCTAGCAAGTTCCTTGGTAAAGAGCACATTGGCCAGTTTGGAGTTCTTGTATGCCAGCTCGCCGTTGTATGGGCCCTCCAGGAGTTGCAGATTGTCAAAGTCAAGGTGAGCACCTGGTGCTAGATATACCAACCCCAAAAAAGCAGAATTAAATGTGTTTTCTAAGACCCTAAAATATAAATTTACTTTCAGTTTATTTTATATCTTATTTATTATCTAGAGCAGCGTATAAAAAAACTGTTTTCTGGCTAATACCATTTTTTTTCTCAACCATTTAAAATTTAAAACAGAAGACACCTACCTCGCATGCCTTTTATACTATCTGGATCATGAAGGGAGGATGCTGTCACGACAATGCGAGCCTCGCCGGCTTCTGATGCAGTCTTCTTCAGGTCATCCAACAGCAGCAAGGTCAACAGGAAATGACCTGATAGGTGTGGTTGAAGTTTAAAGGTTGCTGATGCCAACATGAATATTCATTAGGCCCATTAGGCCTAGCGTCATGAGACAGAACACATCATTGGTACAACCGATCAGAAAGAGGTGAAATCAGAATAACCAAAAATTGTCAGAACAAGAAATATACCAAAGCTATATCGCGATCCTGTACAATTTAAGTCTGTTTATAAAAAAAAAAGCATTTCCCATAAACAGATTTGCTTCACATCTTCTTAAATGCTTTCATCCACAGAAACACAAGTTTCACATTTTATGTGGCATAATACATGTGACTTTAATATCTGTAAGTTTTTATCAGTACTTTTACCACACTTGAAAATTACAAATTAGAAACGAAGATGGACGAGTTACCCAGGTGGTTGATTCCAAAAGTGACCTCGAAGCCATCTTCTGTCTTGAATGGTCCCTTGCCGTTCCTGAAACCCGTGGTCATGCCGGCGTTGTTGCACAGGACGTGCAAGGGCTTGGCTGCGGCGTGGAATTCATCCACAAACTGGCGCACTGACTTCAAGGAAGCAAGGTCAAGCTGTAAATTCAAAATCAATGAAACATGAAACACCTAGTGTCACCTGAGTAGATAGTTTCTGACAACTCAAGTTCCTACATTCCTTGATCCCACAAAAATTCTTTTGAAACCTCCTCGAGGATTTTGAAGGATATGGGGTTATGGATAATTAAACCTTTAGATAGAGCCTTCAATCCTCCAATTTTATAACAAGCAAAGAAATTGACAGTAGCAGGATTTGAACCCATGACCTCAAGGACACCATATCAGTGCTCCACCAATTGGAAAATGAACAGGTGGGTGGACGAGTGTTTGTCACTCAAACTTGCCCAAATTCTCTACCGTAAAACCTGTTTTAAACACAGATAACGTAGGTTAAACACAAAACAGTGCAAGTTCACACCTTCATGAAGGTTAGCTTTGCATCTGGGTTGGTTCTTTTGATGCCACTGATCGCATCCTCTGCTTTGGTCTGGTCTCGACAGGCCATGATGACCTCGTAGCCGGCTGCTGCATATTTTTCTGTGGCCTTCAAGCCCACGCCTCTATTTGCTCCAGTTATAATGCACACTAAACGGTAAACCAAATCATTGTTAAAAGGTCGTTGCCATCAGTATATTTTAATACAAAACTCCAAAATGCACCTTTGTGTCTCACTTAGCAACCTTTATTTTCAACTTTTATTTCACTTTTGTAAAGGTATTTTTAATGCCTTTTGGTGTTTATGCTAATGAGTACTTCCATATTCATGAGTGAAACTGATGTCATCTCCAGAAAAAGCCTCAATGTTACATTGGTTTGTACACAAAAAAGTCCAATACTTTTGTAGATTTTGTTGAACTCAGTTTTCTCTGTTGATTCTTTGTTGTCATTGTGCATCACAATAAGCAAGCGTCAATCCCTCTCTCAGAAATGTTTTCAGTAGGTAAATTCTGGGTCCACAATTTGAACTGAAACACGTATGCACTGAACGATGTCTTCCCTAGATGACTTCACAGCAACAGCGCCCTCAGTTGTACAGGAAAGCATGGATAACATTAATTGGTTAAAAAAGAGCACTTTTTAAAAAGCATTTGTCCAAGCAGGAAAAAAAAAGAGCTTTCATACATTGAAGAAGCATACAAAGTTTTAAAAAAATTGTGTCGCAGAAAAATTCATCGCAGCTATATATGTTCTTATATTATATGCTATTATTATTTTTATTAATTGATTTATTTCATAAAACAAAATAGCATATTAAAAACATATGGTCACACCGAGGACACTTTGAAGTACGCCCATACGGAAAGCCCATTGTAAGTTGGATTGCCCATATCCAACCAAGTTATGACATTAGTCTGTAGCCTCTGGCTCAAACTTGGATTGATCATCTCTCAAGAAAGAATGTTGCATCCTGCCGGCACTTTCTTGATCACTTAAAATCTCAATAAAGCTCAGGTCAGCCATTGCTAAAAAGTAAAACAGCATTGAACTGAAACTGTGGAAAGTATTTCAAATTTTCCACTTCCATGACCTGCACTAAACCCTCCATAAAAAACCATGGCGGTAGAAACAGAGACTTTGATTTTATACACAACCAACAGAGTGTAATCAGGAAGCTGCAGTCGGCAATTGCCAATCTACTGTCATCCTCAATGGCGCTCGCCGCTGCAAACCCCCCCTGCGTCCATCCCCAGGAAGACCCCCAAAAATCGACATAGGTCCTGACTCTCTGTTTTATTACTCAGAATATGATTAAAACTACGGGCCTGACTAGGCCTACAAAACAAAGTGTGACATTACTTCGTTAGTACCTTTACCGTCCTTGCTCGCTGAGGCCCCATTTTCTTCACCCGATCGTGCCATTGTACCACCTCACTCAGGTACATGTATCATACAGTATCGAAATCACCGATATTAAAATTACAATACTTAGGTCTAGCCTACTTGACTTACGAAACGGCTCCTCACACTGCCCAGGTACTAGGTCAACGGGCGCCGCGGCCCCGCGCGCTGGTGGCCGGGGCCAGGGTACAAAAGGGCAGCGTAGTGTGCTGGCTTGCGCAAAGTTTCCTGGGGCGCGCCCTCTATTCATCGAGGCGAGCAAGGGACAGCAACGTTCAGCAATGGGTAACCTCCTGGGAATTAAAAAAAAAAACCGATTTTTTTTTAGGGGGGGGAGGGGAATGGGGAACTGTTAGATGATATTTATTTCCAACTTGAAGCATGTTACAGGTAGGTATCCGACAATATTTTTTACAAATTAAAACAACAAATCGAATATTTTCGTCGTTTTCACATCAGTGATTCGAAGGGTTCGGCACGCGGCCAATTCAAACTGGACGACAAAGTACCTACCTCCATGGTCAAAGCAGCCAAGTTACTTAGTAGTGATACCTTATGAAATGAAACTTAATACGAGAGTTACGATCACAATAAAACTGCGAAGAAAGAGACAGTGGACATATAATTTGTAAAGTCAGACGGCAAGTTGAGTTGATGCTATCTTTTATTATTCTGTTTTGTCCATTTGTTTCATGATCACTCTCATTGAAGCCAAAAATCTTCAAATATGCCTATTATACAAGTACCAATGAAACACCCAAAGAACCCTACCGTTTGATCTGACTTTGAGGGTGGGCAAGTGTGGTACAGCTGCAATACGATGGGAATATGAGATCTGAAGCTTTTCATGGTAAAGATGGGAAGTGAAGTACATGTACAAGGTTTGCCGTTGCACCTTGCAAAGCTATCTGTGCGAGTATGTGCGGTTTTGAAAGGACCGGAGGGTACTCAACTTATCGGAGGGGGGGGGCTACATGCACGGAAAACAACTTGAATAAAGGCTAAAAGTATGGCTATGGAGGATTTCATTTATGGAAGTCTAACATTTCAGTGGGGGAAGCAGCAACGAGGCATGCAAACTAGTCTCCTCTCAATGTGTATCCCAAGACAGTTGTGTTACCCAAACCAAAAATCAAAAGAAAACAAAGCAAAACAAAAACAAAACAAAAACACCCAGGTGCAGTTCGAAGGGGAGGGGTTGGGCCTTAGTCCTCCCCCCAATTTTGGGTAGCCCCCCATGCAAAAATGAACAAAAAATTTAAAAGGGTGGAAAATATTGGATTTACAGTGGCGAAAGTTAAAAGGTGACGTCACCTGTAAAGGGTCTAGCCCCCCCATGGCTCTACAATCACACCCGAAAGCATCCTGTCAAGTGACGAGAACGCTGCCTTCAATTTACACAACAGATCTCATGTTTTATCCCCTACTTGTTAGCCAACAAAACTGTCAACACTTTAAACTATTATGTCCATATAAAAAGAAGTCAAACTTCTTTCCAGTTGTATTTATTAAACACTGAACATATTGACTTTTTGAAGATATCTTTCCAGTGTCAATTTAATGAATCATTATGCGCAATAATTAGAATAGTAATTAGTTTTCGGTGCAATGCTATTGAGTACCGAAGTGAATACGTCACGCGCACAATTAGCGCGAGAACCAGCGCGTGAACCAACACGCGCGCGTACTCCATTCGTTTGCACTGCACTTTCTGATTCACAGTGACGTCACACTTCGGTACTCTATTGAAAATACAAATGTGAAGTATCCTTCGCTTTTCAGTTAAATTTTGGAAGCAGCACATTCGACTCTTTTTGTCTTCATCAGGAAGTACATTATTTCATTTAAAAATATTTTAGCACATTTATATGCAATATACAACAAATTTACATCCATCAATGAAAGTAATACAAGGCATAACGAGTTGTTTTAATGAGATTGTTTTCACTCTATAGCTTCCCATACATCCTAAATGTTGCAATAATTGTATGATAAATCTGAATATTTCAGCCAGGCCTGCTGCCCTGTAAAGAGAGCCCAGAACTGTGAGGTGTTGCGTAATTTCCTTTGTCCCCAGTGAATGCGAGTGGCGTCTTTTCAAACGCGGTAGGATTAGCATGCAGCGGTGCTGTGCCGCTCATCAATGGGGCCCTGGAGCACTTTTGTCCTCGGTGCTAATCTGCGGGCGCACTATGCCCGAAACAGCGGTATACTGTTGAAAAACAGTGACGGATTACCTTCGAAAAATGCAAGCCGAAAAATGATGGCAATTCCCAGCAGCAGGTCTTTTGTTCCAAGTACAGTCTTTTGTTACATGGACCAGCTCTTTTGTCCCATTTCGGGCTCTGCATATAAACCCATGGTGCTCGAAACGGGGTTCCCGGCAGCAAATGGTTAAGCTGGAGTGCAAAGTAGGTTTTGTTCCAGACGCTGAAGTTAAGACGCTGTTATGACTTTACGTGGGCTCAGGACCACTGTTTTGTTGTAACCAAAACTAGTGCGACTGGTTTTTTGTCCAACATTGCACTTGTTCAAAATCTGGAAGTTATAACGAGGCAACGTCAGCTGGAACAATTTTGGCATTGCTTGAAAACAATATAATGCTGTGAAAATGATAAAAGCTTACGAAGCCAAAAAAAAAAAAACCCCATCCTAATGAAAAACCAAATTTAACTCAAGACTTCCTTTGCTGAATTTTAAACAAAAACTTATCAGTCCGTGAAAAAAACTAGGATTTCCACATTTTGAATTTAATGGGGAAAATTGCTGGCTTTTTAAAATTATCCATCAAATTCAGCATGTCAATCCTCATGGCCTGGCTACAAGCCAGGCACTCCATTTGGTCAAAGCAAACATCCAAAATGCATAGCTTACATGTTCCTCACTGTTAAAAATGCCATTACAATCAGCAATAACATTAGCAGTTATACAATCATGGAGAAACTATGTTTACAAAAAGTAATGCCAATAATTAGTCCATATCAAATCAAATATTTTTTCCTCTTACAGATTCTTTTCCTCCTCTAAGTTCACCATCTGGGTGCTGACGTCCCATAATTTCTTGGCCACCGCTGTGTCGTTGGATTCCACTGAGCTCTCTGTCTCTTTGCAGTCCCGGTAGTAGCCGCCCGTTTTCCCTGCCGGGGAGAAAAACAAAGATTCCTTCAGACTGTCGTGACAAGATGCTCAAGAATTCTGTAGGCACGGAAACTATTTTGTCCATTGGAAATGGGAGTCTGGTCGACTAGTGCAGTCACAGTATGAGCTGGTTTGTGCTTAAGACCACAAAATAATTGTCCTAGAAACCCCTCACTTAATGGACTATTATACATTTCAGTCAACAGAGGGTCGTTATGTGGATGAGGCATCTCTTCTTTCCACACCATCGACCATCTGACGTATTTTGTTTGGTCACTCAGTAATTCACATCTCAGACAAAACATTACTCACAGATGACCAGTTTGTTAATGGTCACTTCCCATTTCTGCCATTCTGGATATCTGATATAAAGGCCAGTCCATACTTCGGCCAACATGATATTGACGTCAAGAAATATCTGCAGCAAAATTTGCTCCAAGTTCAACTTTTTCAAATGCACAGCACAAGTATTTGCTTTGATTGTGCCATTTTGCATTTGTGTTTGAACCAGCCTGAACGCTGCATGGGAATCTGTTGTCAAGAGCTAGGTCAATGTCTTCACTCCGTTAGAAATACGTGGGGAGGCGCTGACAGCAGATCATCACCTACCTTTCAAACTCGGGTCGGTGCCGGCGTGATAGACACACTCCCCTCCCTGGTCTTCCGTCCTGGTAACTCCCTTCAATTTGAGCATCGGCGACAGGACGTTGGCCATCATAAACCTCGTCATGGCGCTCTCGTTCCGGTTCAGCCCAGTCGATGGGATAAACCCTGGGAAGAGGGAAGATTGCGGAAAAAGAGCTGTGACAGACCGACTTGTCCGACAGCTGCCATTCTGTAGGATATCCTGAGGGCAAGGAAGGGGTGGCCTATTTCCTCCAGTTTTCTTTACCCTTTCTTTTAAAGGATTGTTTTAACTGGACAGATTTTAGTCCCCGACCAAATCCAATAATTGACCCAACATACTACTTTCGGAAATATATGTTGAAAACAGACATTCCGGGATGTATATTATGTTAAGAATTTGAGTTTGACTGACATTTTTTACATAATAACAATAAATGAAACAATGACTACGCTTTATAAAAAGGTCAAGATTTTCACTCATGAGCTCAATTTATCAGACAATTACTTGATACAGCCTCATTAACTTATTCCTGCTTACGATGTACTGGGGCGTGTTTACAATCTGCCTTTATCCCTGGTGGATACTAAGGCCCTGTCCAAATAAGCCATCTTTTACAACTGGCACACCACTCTGAATGGCTATAGCTATACAAAAGAAAGTCCCATTTACAACACAGAGTCAGTCAATACCTACCTGGGCAGAGGGCTCTGACTCTGACCCTTGACCCTGCTAGTCTCCTCACAAGCTCCTTGTCAGAGACCACATTGGCCAGCACAACCTCAGTCAATACTTACCTGGGCAGAGTGCATTGACTGTAACCCCTGACTCTCCAAGTCTCCTAGCAAGTTCCTTGGTAAAGAGCACATTGGCCAGTTTGGAGTTCTTGTATGCCAGCTCGCCGTTGAACGAACCCTCCAGGAGTTGCAGATTGTCAAAGTCCAGGTGGGCACTTGGCCCTATAGATAACACAGAAGGCGACCCTGAAAACTGAATCATTTACTTCAACAGATGAACATTGTATTGTGAGGGTTTACAGCAGGACTTTTCTCCTCTAGCAGATGGATCATTCCATGAGGTTGGGGCACAATTTGTGACAGTGTCCTTGTTACATGGGTAACTTTTACCACCTGTCATGACCTGTAGAGTAGGTCATTTACTCTGTAAGAATAACACACACCTCTGTATTCAGCCTTGCAAGATGTATAACAATGTCAATTTGGAATCCACATGCAGGGAAATAGCTGTTCAGTTTTACGGAACCCATGTGACAATTGACACCGTCACGAATTGTGCCCCAACCTCATGGAATGACCCAGATACTTTAAAATCCACAAAGTAAAGTCATTATCATTTCACAGGTGGTTTTAAGAGAAATTTAACATTAAGGTGTACAGAATTCTAATTGATCCGATTAAGCTTTAAAAAACTGTTT